CTATTTTTTGGTTGCAGCCGTCATTGTTGTTTGGCGGGTCCGGGCTGGGGATTCGAACCCGCCACCTTAGGTGTACGTGGCTGGCGCCTTAGCCTGTTGAGCTATAGGCGCCGAGCCCAAATCCCCCAGTTTTAAGGTACTTTGAGAACTCCAGAAATAATCTTCCTTCTAAAGGGACAGAGAATTGGTTAAGCACTTGGCCCCTACCATTTGAGATCACCTGGTGACTCCTGCTGAAAGACTGACGTTAGGAGATATTATCTGTACAGATGTCACATGTCACAGTTCATAGCTAGACTGTAAGTCCCTCAAGAGCAAGTACCGGTTTTGGAGATTTTCACATCATTTGTAGCACACGGCTCTGCACCTTGCATACAAAAGGTCTTCAATAAATATTTAATAACAGAATCTCTGTAACACCACATTTCCAAGGCTTAGTCATTAGCCTCATTGATTGAGAGAATTATTTCATCTAACAAAGTTCCAGGATAATAAAAAGAACAAATTGGTCACGGCAACTTCGGTGTAATAGAATCTGACTTGCAACACTATCAATGTGAGGCTCATTCTATAATTTTATAACCAGGTGTTAAGGTTTGAATGTGGCCCCTCTAAAATCCAGGAGTTGCTGGTATGACAGCATCAAGGGAGGGGGCCTGCAAGAGGTGATTAGGCCATGAGGGCTCCTCCCTCATGAGCGGGATGAAGGCCCTTCTAGAAGACTGTTGGCAGCACTGTGCAAGCTTGCCCTTCTGCCTTCTGCTGTGGAAGGACAACATCGTCCCCTCCAGAGGATGCAGCACTCCCAGACATCAAATGCCAGAGCCTTGGTCTTGCACTTCCAGCCTCCAGAACTGTGAGAAAAGAAATTTCTGTTCTTTATAAATTACCCCACCTGCGGTATTGTGTTAGAGCACCACAAACTGACTACGACACCTGCCCCCAAATCCTTTGTTCTCTTCTCTCGGGTGGCATCAAGCATTTCTTACTTCTGGGTTCCAAACCACAGGGGTCACTTCTAAACCCAGACTTTCTGATTTCCATCTTCAAACCTTGTTTACAAATTCGTTTTTGGTACTGTGTTTCAGAGTTTGGCTCGTACCCAACTGAATCCTGCAGGAGGGATGATTTATAAGTTAACTGACTTTATAGAGGAAAATTAGTAGAGCATTTAAACAAAGGTAGACTTAAGGTACAATAGCTAAAAATGAAACTTTCAGCTCTCCTAGTGAACAATATATATAAGTCAAATGTTTTGCAAGTCAACTCATTCATGACAAATGACACTCAGGATATTCCAGACCGTATTCAATGCATCAAATGCCACCTTATTAAAAGTGTAAATTTGACAAGCATTAACAAAAACTGTAAGGTTACAGAAATTCATGTCAGGAAAAATAATTGTTAATTTCTCCAGTTCAGAAAAAAAAGAAGTAACTTTATTGAAGAACATGACCTTGAAAATGATTCTGAACGAAAACAAAAAATCCCAAAGCTACAAGTCCTCTACCACCTGCAGATGTAATTATTTCCAGTCTACGTAATTATTTCACAACCTACTGTTTTCACCAGGAAAGGGAACTAGCAATTACTGAGTATCTACCACAGCAAGGGCCAGCAAATTACAGCCCACGGGCCAAACTCAGTCCTCAGCCTGTTCTGTACAACATAGCCACACCCATTCGTTTATATACTGGCTAGGGCTGCTTTCACACTATAGGGGGAGAATTGGACGGGCAAGGTGGTTCCCACCTGTAATCCAACACTTTGGGAGGCTGAGAGGATCCCTTGAGACCAAGAGTTTGAGACCAGCCTCGGCAACATATGGAGAGTCTCCATAAAAAAATAAAATTAAAAAAAATTACCAGGTACAGTGGCTCACACCTATAGGCCCAGCTACTCAGGAGGCCAAGGTCAGAGGACTGCTTGGGACCTGGCTGCAGTGAACTCTGGTTGCGCCACTGAACTTCAGCCTGGAAGACAGTGAGAGACTTTGTCTCTAAAACATTAAAAATTAAAAAATAAAAATAAAATGGGAAAATTGAGCTCTACAACTGAGACCCATTGGTCCACAAAGCCCCAAATACTCAACGCCTAGCTCTTTTCAGAAAAAGTTTGTCCACTCATGTATTATTATATGCTAGAGACTTCATCAATAGTAGCTAACGCCATCTTTAATTTAAAAATGAGGAAACTAAAGACAGAGCATTTCAGTAACTTTTACAAAGGACACAATGAGTAAATAATGGTGCTGAAATTCAACCCTGAGCCCACTTCATTCCAAAGTTGTAACTCCAGAGCTCAGAGCACTTTGCACCATGTCTATCAGACATCAGTCTCATTTTTCCATGTTAATGTTACATTTTGTTGATGTGCCATAAGGAAACCATTTCTTCACTGTCACTTGTCCCTTGTTTCTTGTATATACAAATAACCCCCCCCCCATAAAATTTTCCATATGTGCAAAGTTTGCTTGAAAAGCAGCACAAGGTATAAAATAAAAGGAAACAAGCTTTGAATATGGGTAAAAGGCCCTAGATTTTTCTGGGCTTCTCTGCAGTAATTCTAAGTAGAGCAATTACACAGAATCTCATTGTGTCATTAGAAGTCAGAGGCAATACAGTCCTAGGGAAAGGAAAAAGGCCAACAGGAAGTCTGGGAGGACTGCCCAGAGCTCTTCCTCTGGCCCTGGAGGAAAATTTCTTTCTGGGACTAGAGATCAAGTGCAGGCCATGGCTTCCTATCACATTGAAATACCACATGGCCTTCTGCCTGCCTCAGTGTACTCCCTCAACCCCTAACCCAACCATGGTTGGTCTCCTCATCATTCACCAGTACCAACAAATGGTGGCCCTTGTCTAGGGCTTTGTCCAGGGCAAATCTCTTAGGTGCTTATGTGACCTGCACCTAAGCATGGTTCAAAGCCCAGCCACTTGATTCAAGGGAAGAAATGAATAGCTAAAAAATTATTATCAGCAATTTAAAAAAATACAAAGGCATACTTCAAATGATAGATAAAATTAAGAACTCCACTTTTAACAAGTTTGGGGAAAAAATGAAATTGTCTCCTTCCCATAATAGACGTCACACTAACTATATAGACATGTCAGAAATAATGGCACCAGAACAATCTATGTGTCTTGGCCACTTCCAAGGCCAGTCTAGAGGGTACAGACCTATATAAACAAGATGGTCATGTCAGACTCGCCCAGACTCTATAAGGTGGACCCTTGTTTCCGGCCACAATTATTCATAAAGTCCCCTTTCAATCCTCAAAAGTACCCTGGCTTAGATAATAAATGATATGACAGCAGTAATATCTCAAAGCTTGAGTTGTCCTCAAAAGATTCATTTCTTAACACATTAATGACTTCCTTTAAGGCTCCTGCAGTTGGCTGGATGGTGGCCTCAAAGATTATCAGAGCCCAGTCCCTGGAACCTGTGCATATTACCTTATTTGGAAAGAAGAGTTTTTTACAGCTGTGATTAAGTTAAGGGTGCCGAGATGGAGAGATTTCCCTGGATTATGCAGGTAGGCCCCAGATACTATCATGTGTGTCTTTTAAAGAAAGAGATTTGACAGAGACAAAAGAGGAGACAGCCACATGAAGATTCAGGCAGGGAATGGAGTGATAGGCCACTGGGAGCCGGGGGAGGCAAGGAAGGACCCGCCCCTAGAGCCTTCAGAGGGAGCACCACTCTGCCAATATCTTGATTTTTTAGATTTCCAGCCTCTAGAACTATAAGAGGACATATTTCTGCTGTTTTAAGCTCCCCAGTTTGCAGTAATGTGTTGCAGCATCCCTAAGGAACGAACCCACCCCACTCTAATTCCCTTTCTCTCCATGTCCTCTTAACAATAGGCCACACAGCTTCCCGGCCCACCACGTGCGCCCTCTCTCCGATATCAGCTCTCTCGCCTCTGTGTGCTGCCGATAAAAGTCTTACCTCTTCCAATAGCAGTTAAGCTCAGAAAGTCATGGAATTAACCGTCTGATTGGGGGAAAAAACTAAAAGCAGCTACCACGTTGCTACCAAGAAACATACTATACAGTGATTTAAAAAAGGGTGGAAGGAAGAAAAGTACCCTGTTCACAATGGGCCAAAGCGAACATCACATCTAAGGGTCTAAGGATAGGAAACCTGGTAATAGCTAGTTAGACAATGTAGTTCTGCAAAACAGCTAAAGCTGCGAGGGTTTTCAGAAATCTGTGGGGCTCTTCTTGTTAGTATAGTAGCCTGGGGCACTGCTGGCAAATAGGGGACAGAAAACCATCAGACCGTCTGCAATGCAAGGAGCAGGGATAGGCACTCCTCTTTCTCTATATTCCAAAGGCATCACTATGAATATAAGTAAGAAAAATTGAAACTACAATTTTGGGGGAAATTGTACGCACCAAAAACATAGGGGTTTCAATATTTATATCAGTTCAAGAGGAACTTGGGGTGACAAATCCCCAAGTGAATTTAATGGTGGGGAAGGGACCATGTAATGATTAAAAAACCAATTTACTAACAAAGATACAATCTAGCAAATCTCTCAGAGCCAAAAACAAAAAGCAAAACCTACTGGAAATCAAATAACTTCATAAGGCTGGGCCCAGTGGCTCCATCCAGTAATCCCAGCATGCTGGGAGGCCGAGGCGGGAGGATTACTTGAGCTCAGGAGTTTGAGACCAGCCTGACCAAGAGTGAGATGTTCACTTCGACTGAAAATACAAAATTACTGGGGGTGGTGGCAGCACCTGTAGTCCCAGCTACTCGGGAGGCTGAGGCAGGAGGATCGTTTGAGCCCAGGAGTTTGAGACTGGTGTGAGCTAGGCTGATGCCACAGCACCCTAGACTGGGTGACAGAGTGAGACTCTATCTCAGAAAAAAAAAAAAAAGGAGAAATAATTTTATTAAAAATATGGCTATGGTGAGAATTTATTAAACCTCTTGCCATATGCAAGAGAAACAGTGACAGAAAATTAGCTCCCTTATGACATGGACAAAGAGGAAGATGCTGAATGATCCTGGGGAAACACACACATGGGAGGAGTAGTTTGACAACAGATTTCGCCGAGAGGACAAAATTTTAAACATTAAAATGTAGCAGCTAAAAATACACATAAAACTTTAGAATCAAATTTAAAATGAAAGAAGCTGTATAAATCACAAATGGAAGGACACAGCTCCACAGTGACACATGTAACCTAAGGTTTTGGCTGCACGAGCTCAAGTTCAAGTCACAAGGTCACACACACACATACACAGGCGTGCGTGCCTCCAATGCGGGGGGGGGGGGTCAGCAAACTGTGTGCCAGGGGCCAAATCTGGCCAGCTACTTGTTTGAGTACTACTTGGGAGCGAATAGTGGCTTTTACATGTTTAAGTGGTTGAAAAAATTCAAAAGAATAATATTTCATGCACATGAAAATGAAATTCACATTTCAGTGTCCATAAATCAAGTTCTATGGGAGTACAGCCATACCCACTGATTGTCTGTTGCTGCTTTACTTATTTCCATATTTAGATATATTAACACTAGGTCAGGTACAACTGAGCACTTGCAACAGAGGCTGGACATCCATTTACAGAAAAAGTATGCTGACTCTTCTAACATAGGCCAAATCGTTAAGTGCTGCCTGGCATTCTGGAGATCAGATTTGAAGTGAGAAATTAGCTGACTAGCCATCATCCACACAGGGAATGGAAGTAGCACCTGAAGAGGCTGAGATTAAAATTCAGGGGGACCTTGCTCTATAAATTTAAATTTATGAGATTTTTTTTTCAGGTATTAGGGGACCATGCTGTTTCAGAAATCTGCATTGTTTCAAAAATGAATTGCAGAGATCAATGGCACTGTGTTAGAGAAAACTTTTCTCACAATTAGTTACCACATCCCAAAACAGCAGTACGTCTTTGAAACTAGCAGGATTCACATGGAGCCTGACTATCTACTCGTAAGATGCAGAGTAGACAATAACTCAGAGCAGAGCCCTTTAGTGGGTCAAAAGGTATTCCCTTAAAACTCAGGTCCACCAACAACTTTAGCATATGACCACATTTGGGAAACAGAGTCTTTGCAGATATAACCAAGCTGAAGATCAAGATGAAATCATGGTGCATTAGGGCAGGCCCGAAACGCAATGACGGTATCGTTATAAGAGACAGAGAGAAGAGGCCACGTGACAACAGAGGCAGAGACTGGAGTAAAGGCAGCCACAAGCCAAGGGACATCAGAAGACACCCGCAGCTGGAAGAGGTGGGACGCACCCTCTCAAGATCCTTCAGAGAGAGTGTGACCCTTCCAACAATTTTTTTCAGACTTCTGACCTCCAGGGCTGTGAGGGAGTAAATTTCTGCTCTTCGAAGCCACCCAGTTTACGTAAATTGTTAAAGCAGCCCTAAAAAATTTCCTTACACGTTCTCCTCAAATTCCAACTTCTCTGATGTACCTGCAAGGCACAGATCATCATATTCTCCTTAATTTCTTCTGGAGACTGACAGAGCCCCTTCCCAGGCTAGTGTTGCCAGAAAAGTAACAATGTTAACTCAGTTCTTTTTGGTACGCTAAAAAGGCATAATGGCATTTTTTGAAAATTAAACTTTTTATTTGGGGGGAATTGTAGATTCACGCCCAACTGTAAGGAATGATGCAGGAGATCCTGCGAGTCCCTACGGTTAACATCTTGCAAAACTATAGCATAATATCACCACCAGGGCACTGCCACGGACTGACACAGTCCAGTGATCTGATTCAGATGTTCCCCAGTTTGATTTGTCCTCATTGAGAGCACATACATGTACATTGAGTGTGTGTGTGTGTGTGTGGTGTGTATTTAGTTCTATCCACCAGAACAAAGACACACAACAATTCCTTCACAGTAAGGGCAATGAGAGTATTTTGATAACCCATAAAGGTATGTTTTACCTGTTTCTATCTTTATAAATATTAGCATTAGGGTCAGTTCAAAGACAAATCTTTAAAAGAAACACAAGGTAAGGCAGTATATTTACTCCATCATTAAAAGAAAAATCTAGCATGTTCTAGATAGTTTATTCCAAAGGAGAGGGGAAAAAGTTAATAGTGACCAGAGCAGGTTTCTAAAGTAGGACACACCTCTCCTACCTTGTCCTTTTTATCTTGTCGAGCGTATGGAAAACACGGGATCACAGCAGTCACCCTGGATGATGACGCAATTTTGCAGGCGTTGATCATGATGAGGAGTTCCATCAGGTTGTCGTTAATTTCTCCACAACCGCTCTGGATGATGTAGACATCTTCCCCCCTCACACTCTCACCAATCTCCACGCTAGGAAATGAGAAAGGCCACTGATTACAATTAGAGCAGATGTGATCCTGGGGGCCCCGGAGACCATTCCAGGTTCGATGATCGCCATGATGACCCACAGGACTCAGCACACAGCTGTGAGTTATTGCAGGGAATGGACAGAAAGCAAAATCAGCTAAGGGAAAAGGTGATTGGGGCCAACTTCGGAGAAACCAGGCAGATGCTTTTAAGGGTCCTCTCCCAGGGATGACTGAGGTCAAGTCAGTCCCTCACCCAGCAGTGAGCTATGACGTGTGTGAAGTGCTGTCTACCAGAGAAGCTCCTTAGAGACTCAGCAACTAGAGTTTTCGTTGGGAGCTTATCGCATAGGCACTCACGGTACAGGGATGTCCAACCCACCACCCACCAGCCACATGCAGCGTACTGAAGGTCTATTCTGCTTATCTCTAGTGTTCAGATCACAAAAGGAAAATGGGGACCTTTTCTTTTACTTATCAGCTTTCATTAGTATTTGTGTATGTAACGTGTGGCCCAAGACACTCTTATTCTTCCAGTGTGCAGTAGATAATAGGGTGATGCCACATTCCAAAATGCCAGACTTATAGGCATTCGGCATAAACCACATTATCAGCCATTTAACAGAATGTGGACATACACGGGAATCATTTTTACTTACCAGGGAATCGTGCGTGGGAACTCTTACACAATCTAAGTTTCCTGAGGCAAGCCAAAAGCCAACCTTGCAAGCAGGCCTTTCTAAGTCTCAGGCTTGCTATGTTAATTCTTCTGCAAAATACTATATTTAATCTTACTTTTTAATTTTTATTAAAATTTTATGTGCACATTGCTTAAAAAATTTCATTCTATAAGGCTTGTAACAGATAACACAGCTCAGAGGTAACTAATTTCAACTCTTGATATGGCTTTTAGGTATTTTTCTAGCTCAGTGTTTTGTTTTTTCTTTCTTATAAGACAGAGTCTCACTCTGTTGCTCTGGGTAGAGTGCTATAGGGTTATAGCTGACAGCAACCTCAAACTCTTGGGCTCAAGTGATCCTCTTGCCTCAGTCTCCTGAGTAGCTGGGACTACAGGTGACCACCACAATGCCCTGCTAGTTTTTGTATTTTTTTTTTTAATAAAGATTGGGTCTCGGCTCGGCGCCTGTGGCTCAAGGGGCTAAGGCGCCAGCCACATACACCTAAGGTGGCGGGTTCGAATCCCCAGCCCGGGCCCGCCAAACAACAATGATGGCTGCAACCAAAAAATGGCCAGGCGTTGTGGCCGGTGCCTGTAGTCCCAGCTACTTGGGAGGCTGAGGCAGGAGACTCGCTTGAGCCCAGGAGTTGGAGGTTGCTATGAGCTGTGATGCCATGGCACTCTACCCAGGGGGGATAGCTTGAGGCTCCGTCTCAAAAAAAAAAAAAAAGATTGGGTCTCACTCTTGCTCCCGCTGGTCTTGAACTCCTGAGTTCAAGCAATCTACGGCCTCAGCCTCCGAGTGCTGGGATTAAGATGTAAGCCATCCTGCTGGCATACTTAAATTATGGTCATCCAAAAAAAAGAGTAAAAGAATGTACTTATTTTGCTTTGAACATCTTTCAAAAACAATTTAATTAACAATCTTTAAAAATTTTCACGGCACACCTGAAGTCCTCTCATGGCACACCAGTGTGCCACGGCACAGTGGTTGAAAATCGCTGTTCTAGCTAATATGAATGCATCACTGCATCTTGAGTTTTCATTTTAGGCACCAGGCATTGACTTCTCACTATGGAAGGTGAGAATTTAACTCCATTTCCTCTGGCTCCCATCACTTTAACGCTCCCTTCCCATCTCACCATCATCCCAGTATAGAACAACATTCCAACTCAGACCCGCCTGCCTCATCCTAACTATAAATGCTGCTCAGCTCAGCGCCTGGCACACTGCAACCGATGTTTACATTTTCCTATATGCACAACTTTTCTTTTTGTTGTCCCTGGAGGCAATTATCTCACCTTTTTTATCTACTGAGTTTTCTAAGTACCGAATCCAGATTCCACCCTAAGCACTTCGCTAACAATCTAAATCCTTCAAGGTCAGAGGACACTGAATTGTCCGGCAGATGTCCCTCCCAGGGCTGGGTGGCTGGCCTGGGTGATCTTTCTGCCTGTGCACAGCTGCAGTGCTGGGGATTCCCTTCACCCCTCTCCTGCGCTTGAATCCCCATTTTCTGTATCCTCTTTCTTGGTACACTTCCTTGTGTGGCTGGCTGGCATCCTTTTGTAGCTTCTCAAGAAACGGTAAATAGGAGCTAATTTTTTGAAAATTCCATGTCTGAAATTTTCTGCATTTCCAGGTCTAGAATTTGGGATGTTCCCCAGGAGAGAGCCAGCCCATCCCTGGCATATGCCCTTCATGGGAAGAGAAGCAGGTCCTTCAAGAGCTGTGTCAGAACCAACAACATGGCTAGCTCTGCTTGGGCTTGTTTTAAAAGGGCAAATTTGTTTCAATGACTGATATCTGGAACAATTTGAGTATAACAGGGATTTGGCGTTTTCTTACGCAGGGCTCTTATTCTGAGATGCAAAGGCGGAAAAGTGCACCGCACTGAGCTAAATGAAGCCTCTTAGAACTACACAAACATACAGTGGTGTACACCTCCAGAGGGCACTGAGCCACACATTCATATTTGGTGTCGTGACTTTGTATCACCTCACAGTCACTCAAAAGCTGCAACCCCCAAGAACCCCTTTCTATAAGTGAACCGCAGGTATTTTTCACTACAAAGTGCCTTATTTGTTGCAGTATTTATGTATTTTTTAAAAACATACAACACACGGTGAAGTGTTTTACCATTTTTTACAGGTTGTGCACCCCTAATCCACAACTCTGAAATGGCTCCAAATTTGGCAAGTTTTTGAATGCCAACATTTTCCATTTGAATGCTCAAAGGAAATGCTCATTGGAGCATTTCGTATTTCAGACTTTTGGATTTGGAATGCTCAACAAGTAAGTATAATGCAGATATTCCAAAAGCCAAAGAAATCTGAACTTCAAAATACTTCTGGTCCCAAGCATTTCTGATAAGGGATACTCAACCTGCATCATACTATCTCTTTTTAATGTATGTCCGAATGTTGCACCCAACTCCATTTTTCTCATAAACCCCCTGGTTTTTAATTGCACAATTTTGCATAGCATGGTAATTTTTAGGAATGTGTCTGTCATATTACAGCAGAGTTGGCTGTAACTGTACTCATCCAAAAGTGAAATACTATTTTAAAATTACAATAGTATTTTACAATAGTGAAATGGTCTTTTAATGAATCCTATTTTAAAATTACAAATGAGACACACGAATAATCACCCTTTTCTATCAGATACCCAATAAAATTGTTTTATTAAAAGAGCCACTTACAGCTAAGGAAAGTTTAAAAACAAATCAGCATTTCAGATACCCACGTGGTAGTCTATCTGAATCAACAGAAGCTTATTCCCAACTTCAAATAGACTAATTAGAAGACACCAAAGTTTTTCCAAGTTGGCATATTCTGAAAATGGGCTTTGTTAACATTCAGTCATGCTTTTACCTACTCTCTACTACAGATGAAAATGGTACAATGTCAACCTCTCCGGAAGAGAACGAGAGACTTCTATTTGCTCCCTCCATTTCAAGGTCTAAGGCACTAAATGTAACTCCTTTGTGAACAAATCAACTGGGGGATGGATTTCATTTGGGAACTGCTATGGTTTGAACTTGCCCGCTGAAGTCCACGTGTTGGAAACTTAATTCCCAATGTAACAGTGTTGAAAGGTAAGACCTTTAAGAAGTGATTAGGTCATGTAGGCTCTGTCCTCATGAATGGATTAATATTGTTATTGTGGGAAGGGGTTTGGTATATAAGCAAGTCTGGCCTTCTCTTGCTCTCTCAATTGTGCTCTTTTGCCCTTCCACTCTTCTGCCATGGGATAACGGCAGCAAGAAGGCTCTTGCCAAATGACGGCCTCCTAATCTTGGACTTTCCAGCCTCCAGAGCTGTGAAAAATAAATTTCTGTTGTTCATGAATGACCCAGTCTCAGAATTCTGTTACAGCAGTACAATATGGACTAAGACAGAAATAAAGTACAGTATTATATAGCACAGGAGTCAACAAATACAGTGCACAGCCTGCTTTCATACAGTCTGTGAGCTAATAATGACGTGATTGGCAGAATAATGCCCCCTAACAATGGCTAAGCCCCAATCCTTTGAATATGTTAGTTTACACGCCAAAGGGGAAGTAAGTTTGGAGGTAAAAGTAAGGTTGGTAATCAGATAACCTTAACAGGGAGAGTGTCCTGGATTATTTAAATTTGACCCAATGTAATCATAGGATCCTTAAAAATGAAAGGAGACAAGAGGTAAGAGCCAGAGAAAGAGATGTGATGACTGAAGGGGCTTGGGTCAGAGAGAGACTTTGTTGCTGGTGTTGAAGGTGGAGTAAGGGGCCAGTGGTGAAGGGATGTGGGCTGTCTCTGCAGACTGAAAAAGGCAAGGAGGTAGAGTCTCCTCTGGAGCCTCAGTTGGAAATGCAGCCCTTCCACTCTATGACAGACTTCTAACCCACAGAACTGTAAGACACAGCAACAGTACAGCCTACACATGGCCAGCAATGCCTCAAATATTTATGATCTGGCCCTTCAGAGAAAACTTTGCCAACTCCTGGTCTTATGACTGTTTATCCCACAAGATAGATTCTTTGGCCTGTTTTTCCTCAGGAACCTCAATCCTCATGTGACTAGCAAGTCTAAAAGGCTAGAATACCATCACCATGGCAACTTTTTTTCCAAAACTAGTCCTGCTTTTACTCAAAAAGATGATCATGACTATCTTTGGTCTAGGTTTTTTTTAAAAAACAAACTGTAGATAGAAGGCAGCATCCATTTTGCTGTTCAGCCAGAGGATCTTTACTGACCTCCAAGTAAGAAGGCCGAAGAGTATAACTGACTCAATAATAAATGGGCATAGTAATTAAAAGATGGTCACAGATTCCCTTTAATACTCTTCTCATCAAGAAGCAGGATCTAGTCCCCTGTCCCAGCATCTGAGAGGGTTCTGTGCTTGATCAAAAGAATGTGACAGAAGTGATAATGTACCAACTTCCAAGCCTAGGCCTTAATAAACTGGTACCTTCCACTTCCTGTCTTTGGAACACTTGCTCTTAGAACTCAGCTTCCATGATATAAGGAAGCTCAAGTAGCCCCAGGGCGAGGTCCAGGGGAAAAGCAGCTAAGGTTCTCAACCAAGTTCTCAGGCAAAAGCTAGTATCAACTTACCAGCCATGTGAGTAAGCCTCTTCCAAGTGGATCCTCCAGCCCCCATTAGCCATCCTAGCTACCAGGACATGAGGCATAAACAGCCTTCCCTGCTGGGCCCTGCCCAAACTGCAGATAAATGAGCCAAATAAATTATGATTGTTTTAAGCCACTAAGTTCCAGGGCAATTTGTTATACAATAATAGATAATCAGAACCTTGAGTCTCATAATACAGCTAACAACTCTGCCAGCAGGTTAACCAACCAGAGTAAATTGTTCAATAGACCAGACAGCATCATCAATGCTATGCTAAGATATCATCATGGAATTTCCATGGTTGATAGCAAAGATGAAGCAGAACCCTCCCTGCGGATCTGAAATGAGTTAAAGATGAAAGCTAAAATCAGGAGGCTATATGTCTGATTAAGTACCTGGGTACTTAAGTACCTGGTGTATAAAAAGTATAAAGTGAGAGGACCTACAACCAGGAGACCACAAACTCGATTTCTGCTCCTGGCTCAGCAAGAGATTCAGAAAGGGCCCCTTACATGGATTGAATCAATTTTCTCTTCCTTTTTCTATTCAGTTTTTCATCTCTAGGACCACAAAGTAACAAACGGATTACTAACACAGTATCTGATATAGAGAGGACGGCCTATAAAAAAAAAAAATCAACCTCTGTACCTATACAGTTCACAGAAAAGAGAAAAGCTAAGAAGTTAACCTTTTATATTCTCCTTATTAAAAACATAAAATATAGCTATATAAGCATTTCCCAGACTTCATGCTGAGTGGGTTTTGAGATCTCATGATTTCTAATTACCAAATGATGGTTCTAATACTCAAAACCAAATAAAAATGAGTGTGCTTTAAAATAATCATACGCAATCGTACTTCACTGTCTGAGTGACTTTCTCCTAACAGCAAATACAGGGATTTTTAGCAGAAATCTAACACTAACTTAGAAATAGACTGCTTTAGATTAACCCATGCTCTTTAGCAAAGGATCGTGCTTCACTGAGAACTCGGAAGGGCAACACACTTGCTTTCAAAATCCACTTTACCAGAAATTTCTCCTTATATAACAATACCTTCCTAACAAAAACTATTGTTCTTGTGTTCTTAAAGCCAGGGAAACTTGAACGGGACTGGCAGAAAACTGCAACATTCAAACCTGGCTCTATCCTTCCTCAGAGCCCTGGACCACCCTCCCAGACTGATTAAACTCTGAAGCCGAAGTTCTCTTGGCAGGAATACCACCTGCCACTCGTTCACGTTTCTTACTTCTATTATCATCAGAGTCATGTAACTGGAATTTGCCACCTGGAAGAAATCACATCGGAGTCACACACATAAATCCTCTGACTCACAGAGAAATAAAATCTTGGCCATTGACATCAATATTAACTCCTCGCTAAGAAATTTTTGCCTAACCAAATAAAATCATGAAGACTTCCTCCTATGTTTTCTTTTAGAAATTTTATAGTTTTCAATTTTACACCTAGGCTTATGGTCCATTTCAAGTTAATTTTTGTAAATGGTGGAAGTACGGATGGAAGTTTATTTTTTTGCACATGCTGTCCTATTGTTCCAATAGCATTTTTTGAAAATGTTGGTTGAATTGGATCTTTGCCAAAGATTAAAAAACTATTATCAGTAACTGTGGATAGTTAACTGCACAGACACTCGAGGGTGAGTGCGGGAAAAACGAGATCAACTTGCAATCAAAAAGCTTCAAGGACTCAGGCAGGTGGAGAAAGAAGCCCCCAGCCTGGCTTGTGAGACGGGCCACTACCTGACCACATCGAGCAGAGGTGACCACTTACAGACTTTGGAAACAGGTATAAGTTACACTCGAATTACGGCCTTGCTGCTGGACACAGCAGAGTCCCAGAACCACCTAGACTGAAAAGCCATCACCTTTGAAACAGCTAAAGTAGAGGAAGCACAGGGGAGCCCAGCACGTGCGCCTGTGGTTCTCAAACTCTTTCAAACCTTTGCAAAACCGCAGCCTCTGGAAAACACAGTGATTTGCATCCTGGCTGCTCAGGAGAGTTACCTGGAGAGCTGTAAAAATGCTGATCCTCAGCCGGTTGATTAGACCTTCTGGGGACAGGCCTGGGAAGCAGTGTAAGAACCTTCACCAGGTACAGCCGGTGCGCAGCAGGGCTAGGGACGTGGGCGGAACATTTGGCTCCACCGACCGGCCCGGGGTTCAGCCTGGCCAGGACGCGGAACTGGGACCAGCAGACCCAGGGGCGGCCCTCCATTGCGCGTGGCACGGACGAGGTTCCCGCCAGTCGCGCCCACTCTCTTCCCGACGGTGTGTGACCTCCCAAATATCGCCCTTCCGGGCTAGGGACGCCAGATCAGGTGGCTTCGCAGGGAGGCCAGGAGCTCCTTGGGGCTGCCGGGTCGCCGCAGTCCCAGAGCCGGAGGTCCTGGCGTCCGGGGCACAGCGAAGGCGCACACCAGACGCGCGGGCGCCCCTCCTCGGCTTCCCCACCCCCCCACCCGCGCGAGCGCGTAGGCGCTGAGGCCGCGTTGCCGCCGTCCCGCCCCGGAAGGGGGAGCGCGGCAGCCACCGAGGTGGCCCGGGCAGACGCGGTCCCGGGCCGGGCCGCCCCGCACCCAGCGCCCTTCCCCGCCCGCTAGCAGCGCGGCCCCACCTGGTCTCCTGGTTGCTGAACTTCTTGGTAACCACTTTGCCCAGCTCCAGGCCCAGCCGGTCAGCCACGCGCTGGGACAGGTCCTGGTGCGAGCTGCCGCTGAAGAGCACGATGTTGGGCATGGCGGGGCGCGGGGCTCCGAGGGGCGCGCGGCGGAGGCGAGGCGGCGGCAGAGGCGACGGCGACCGGGACAGCGACGCGGACGGCTGCTGGCGCCGGGAGCGGGAAAGTACGGCAGCTAAACCTAGGGAAGGGGCGGAGCTCGGGGGAGGAGCCGGGGAGGAGCGCGCTGGGGTGGGGGGTGCTGCCCGCGCAGCCGGGGCAGTAGCCCGGGAAGCCCTGGGTGGTCCCGAAGCCTTGAAGAGTCCTAGCTCCTTGGGAGAGCGCCAAGCACTATTCTTGACCTTTTGACGTGCGTGGCAGGAGAGGGCCAATGAACCAAGACTAACTGCGAACAGAAGGAGAGTGCAGGAAGGGGGGATGGAGGCGCCTCTCAGCCCGGAGCTACCCCCACAACCCGGAACATCCCAAACCCAGTGCAGGCTGGTGTTCAACTACAGCCACTACGGCCTGGCCCGCATGCCAGGTCGGCAGAGCTGTGTTATGACCGTTTGTGTTTAACGTGATGGTAGCGTATACCACTCTTGAACCCCAGCGAAAAGAAATCCCCCCCCCCCGAATTCTTTTTCTATCCTTAGTAGATGTGTTACAAATAACTGTACTGAAATATTTTGGATTATATCGATAAGAACATGGTGAAAATCTGTTTTCTCTCTTGGTATGTAAGTCTTCTGACCATCTGGCCCGTAACAGTTAGAATTTGCTGATCCCTGAACTACAGAGTATACTGTGTTCTTGAAAAATCCAGTAATGCCAGCCACTGAGTCCTGGTCACGGGTAGAGGAGAAGTGTTGCTCTTGGTGGCCTGTTGGATCAAGCCAACTCTCCCCAGACCCCTCATTTTTAGGTAGATGTGGTGGTCCTTGGGCCAGCTTCACAACCTCCCACCTTTCTCAAGTGCCTGCCTGATCCCAGAAACACAAATCACCCCAGACAGTCCCCCAGGTTCAGTCACTGTACATTCTTGGAGTCAGGTCCTCTTTCTCCACCTCTAGAGCTAGAAACCAGCAAAAAGGTTTTTATAAGAAACTAATGCAGTTCTAGGATCAACCTCTGGGCACACCAAGTGCAGAGGAAAGGAGTGAATTCCATGTCCATGGAGGGCTGGGAGTGTCGTTGTCACTGCTCACAGTTTCCCACTCCTTAGCAAACACAGATTCAGCCAGAGACACAAATGGCTGGGTTTTACTAACATTTGCCAAGAATTGTCTCTTCTTCAACGGCAAAGCCTACTTGGAGTTGAATTGCAGCCTACCCTAACCCAACTTCATATTATTGATATTTGGTAGGTTATTGGGATTATTCATATCATTGGGAATTTCCATCTGGGTTCTTGCACTTTGTGAATTAGATTACCTTGCGCATCAAGTGTTTCTTTTCTTTTTGAGACAGTCTCATTATGTCCTCCTTGGTAGAATGTGGTATAGCACAGCTCACAGCAACCTCAAACGCTTGAGCTCAAGCTATTCTCTTGCCTCAGCCTCCCAAGTAGCTGGGACTACAGGTGCCCACCACAATGCTTGGCTATTTTTTTTGTTGCAGTTGTCATTGTTGTTTAGCTGGCCCGGGCTGGATTCGTTCCCACCAGCCTTGGTGCATGTGGCTGGTGCTGTAATCACTGTGTTACAGGCGCTGAGCCCAATTGTTTCTCTAACTCTCATATCTGCCTGCCTACCCAAAAGTTGAAAGCCACAATTTTAGCAGCATTTCTGGCCCCTTTTCATTCTGCCTAGAGAATGTATATGCCCTACTACATAAGAAAACAAACAAAGGCTCGGCACCTGTCGCTCAGTGGTTAGGGCAGCAGCCACATGCACTGGGGCTGGTAGATTCGAACTTGACCAGGGCCTGCTAAAACAACAATGACAACAATAACACCAAAAAATATAGTTGGGCATTGTGGCAGGCACTTGTAGTCCCATCTACTTGGGAGGCTGAGGCAAGAGAATTGCTTAAGCCGAAGAGGTTGGTTGTGAGGTTGCTGTGAGCTGTGATACCACAGTACTCTACCAAGGGCAACATAGTGAGACTCTGTCTCAAAAAAGAAAAAACCAAAAAAGAAAACAAACAAAAAAATCTCTATCTGCAATGGTTTATTATCTATGTATTTCACTGTTAACTACTGTAGCAATGAGATTTATACTCAATTGTATGTCTAAAATTTTTATTGAATGAGTCTGCTGATGCAATTATATTTAAACTCTCCTAATAAAATTTACATCAGCATTATTACTGTAATTCTTATGTCCTTAAAATTTCTCTCATAGATAAAATTGACTGATAATGGACTTCCTCTAAATAGAAACATTCTTCTCAAAAGGAAAGTGGCTTCCTCTTCACGTGCTAGAGCCATGGATTCTTTAATAACAAGGCTGATGGACTATAAAACAGTACGAATTTAAAGCCCTTGGGCTCCAGATGGGTTAATGGATGGTGATTTGGAAACTAGGACGGAATTGTGACAAACCAGGACCTTGATAGCATCGAAGAGATAAAACATCTGAGTTAGGGCAACTAATACAATAGCTGTTAGTTGAACAGTTGATGAATCACTTTGCTTACATGCTGAGTGTAAGCAAAGGGAAATATGCCATTGGGATCGATGAGAATTTTTTTTTTTTTTGAGACAGAACCTCAAGCTGTCACCCTGGGTAGAGTGCCATGGCATCACAGCTCACAGCAACCTCCACCTCCTGGGCTCAAGCGAGTCTCCTGTCTCAGCCTCCCAAGTAGCTGGGATCACAGCTGCCTGCCACGACGCCCGGCTATTTTTTGGTTGCAGCCGTCATTGTTGTTTGGCGGGCCTGGGCTAGATTCGAACCCGCTACCTTAGGTGTATGTGGCTGGTGCCCTAGCCACCTGAGCCACAGGTGCCAAGGTGATCAATGAGAATATTAATGGGAATCACTCAAAATCATCATGAGCAGCAGACTGGTTAGAAAGCTTTCAGTGGTAAATGTACAGGCTTAAAAGAGCAGCTACAGATTATTTTATTTAAGTGTGAATTTCTCTCCCAAGCCCCTTTATCCTTGCTCCATAGGAGCCAGGTTGTGAGGAAACCTTGGTCTAGAGCAGGTTTCTCAACTTCAGTACAGCTGACATTTGACCTGGGTAATTCTTTGTTGTGAGACTGGCCTATACATCATAGGATATTTAGCAACCTCCCTGGATTCTACCCGCTAGATGCCAGTAGCACTTATCCACCAGTTGTGACAACCAAAGGTGTCTCCACGTGTCTCCAAATGTCCCCCAAAGGCCAAAATCACCCTGGGTTGAGAATCACTTGTTTGAATGAACCCCTGGCCCTTTTCTCGTCCATGTGGGACTTTCCTTGTGGCTGCTTGGGCTCCCTAACAGTATGGCTGCAGGGTTCTAAGAAGGAGTGTTGCAAGAAGATAAGCTTCAATGAGCGAGTGCTTATCAAGGCTCTGCTTGTACTCTGTCTGGCTTGCCAATGTCCCATTGGCCAAAGCAAGATACGTGGCCAAGATCAACATGGCAGGGGACAACAGAAGGGCATGAATACTAGTTCTGCCAACAGTCTCCCACAGTGCACTACTTCTTGAATGAAATGTGAAGTTAGAGGAGCCTCTAGGAAAATGGAACACATATTCGAAGACTTAAGATTCAGAATAGAAAAAGAACATATACTCAGTGTATATATGATCTCTGATCTTGGAACTGTTATAAAATATCTATTTTTCTATCTTAAAATACTTATTTGAAGATAAAATTTTAATGAAAAAAGTAAAACTGATGAGATAATTTCCATTATTGACTTCTATTTCCATTAACTGATGGATAAAGTATAAGCTATAAATATTTGCTGAATGAATTTATTCCTAACTATTCTAGGGCTGAGAAGTGGAAGAAATGGCCCAAAGTCACATGGCCAGAGGAAAGCAGCAGAGGAATTAGAATGCGGGTTTTCTACGCATATCATCTTCTCTGTAGAATGGTGTCGACCAAAAGAAATATAATACAAGCCATATAAGCAATTTATATTTTACTGGACACATTTGAAGAAAGTATGAAGAAACAAGTAAAGGTAATTTTAATAATACACTTTTTAAAATCCAATATATCCAGAATACTATCACTCTAACATATAATTCAACGTATAGATTATACCTACAGCACATCTCAATTTAGACTCACTATACCTGAAGTGTTCAACAGTCACATGTGGCTGGTAGTTGCTGTAACAGAGCAAGAGGCTCTAGAACAGCAGTCAACCTGTGGGTCACGACCTGAACAACCCCTTTACAGGGGTCACCTAATATTAGATATTTACATTACGATTCATAACAGTAGCAAAAATTACAGTTATGAAGTTGCAATGAAAATAATTTTATGATTGAGGGTCGCCACAACATGTAGAACTGTATTAAATGGTCATGGCATTAAGAAGGTTGAGAGGCTCGGCGCCTGTGGCTCAACCGGCTAAGGCGCCAGCCACGTACACCTAAGGTGGCGGGTTCGAATCCCCAGCCCGGACCCGCCAAACAACAATGATGGCTGCAACCAAAAAAAATAGCCGGGCGTTGTGGCGGGCGCCTGTGGTCCCAGCTACTTGGGAGGCGGAGGCAAGAGACTCGCTTGAGCCCAGGAGTTGGAGGTTGCCGTGAGCTGTAATGCCACGGCACTCTGCCCAGGGGGACAGCTTGAGGCTCTGTCTCAAAAAAAAAAAAAAAAGAAGGTTGAGAACCACTGCTCTAGAAGACTGTTTTTATCTTTTTTGAGACAGCATCTCACGTTGTCACCCTCAGTAGAGTGCCGTGGTGTCATCATAGCTCACAGCAATCTAAGTCTCTTAGGCCCAAGCAATTCTCTTGTCTCAGCCTCCCAAGTAGCTGGGACTACAGGTGCCCACCACAATGCCTGGCTATTTTTAGAGATGGTGTCTCACTCTAGTTCAGGCTGGTCTTGAACTCAGGAGCTCAGGTGATCTGCCCACCTCACCATGATGGCATTTAACATGTTAACATAGCAGGTTATCCTGCTATTAGTGATATTGACATTGATCACTGATATAAGGCTGCTTTTTACCCCTGCAAAATGCAAACTTCCTATCTATCTTTCCTGTCTACAGATATTAGCTGGAATTCTTCAGTAAAGAAGAGCTTCTCTTCATCTTCTGGGGCTAGCTGATTACCGTAAAATATAATTTGTACTGGGAAAGCAAGACAAAAATTTCTTCATTTTCTTCCTTTTCTTTACCGATTTTCAGAGTAGGGAGCCTAGTTTATAAAGACTATCTCCCATGCAAAGGAACTGGGGATACTTGGTGATTTGGCCAATTCCAGGTCTGAGGCAGGAACAGACATTGTGATCAAGATATCTGGCCTCAGGTATATCAAAGATGAGAAGGAATATGTCAGAAGGGTAAGGGTACTAGTTTAAAGCAACTATTGATCAAAGGTAGGACAGCCTGAACATCAACTATTAATGCAACAGGCTGGGCACAGTGACTCACACCTGTAATCCTAGCACTTTGGGAGGCTAAGGTAGGAGGATCACTTGAGGCCAAGAATAGGAGACCAGCCTGAGCAACAGTGAGAACCTGTTTCTACAAAAAATACAAAAATTAGGTGTGTTGCTCTGAAAGGCTGAAGTAGATATTGGACGTGCCTTCCAGTGAGCGCTTGAGGCTGGAGGTTGTGGCATCTGCAGGTTGGACGTTTGAGTTTGGAGCTCCAGCCTGGATGATCGAGGTTGTTTGCAACAGCCGTCTGGGGAAGAATGTCCATGTTAAATGCAACATTGATGACACCATTGGGGACCTTAAGAAGCTGATTGCAGCCCAAACTGACACCTGTTGGAACAAGATTGTCCTTAAGAAGTGGTACATGATTTTTAAGGACCACATGTCTCTAGGGGACTATGAAATCCATGATGGGATGAACTTGGGGCTTTATTACCAGTAGAGCAGACTTCCTTCCCCGCTCTACCGTTCTTTCCTCCCACCCTGGTATAGAGGCTTGTTTTTAAAAACTCACATTAGAAAGGAGTCGCCAACGGCCAGGAGGGAATATGCCCAAGTTTTATGGTGACTACTGTGATACAGTAGGTGAGGTGAGGAGGCCCGTGACCCTCCATCTGTGAGAAAGACACTGCAGTGGGAGGAAGCACAAAGAGAATGTGAGGGACTACCATCAGAAATGGATGGCAGAGCAGGCCCAGAGCCTGACTGACAAAACAACAGCTGCATTTCAACAAGGAAAACTACCTCCTACTCCATTCTCAGCTCCTCCTCCTGCAGGGGCCATGATTCGACCTCCCCTCAATCTTCCGGGTCCTCCTCATCCTGGTATGATGCCAGCACCATATATGGGGGTCCCTGCCAGGATGCTGATGATTGGTCCTCCTCCTCCTGGGATGCTGCCAGTGGGACCTGCTCCTGGAATGAGGCCACCCATGGGCGGTCACATGCCAATGATGCCTGGGCCCCCAATGATGAGACCTCCTGCTGGTCCCGTGTTGGTGCCCACTCATTCTGGAATGACTTGACCAGACAGATAAGGGTAGAGGGGAGTTTTGTTTTTTTTTTTTTTTTTTTTTTTTGCGGGGGCTTCAGGTTTTCCCCTGGGTAGAGTGCCATGGCATCACGCTCACAGCAACCTCCAACTCCTGGGCTCAAGCGAGTCTCCTGCCTCCGCCTCCCAAGTAGCTGGGACTACAGGCGCCCACCACAACGCCTGGCCATTTTTTGGTTGCAGCCATCATTGTTGTTTGGCGGGCCCGGGCTGGGGATTCGAACCCGCCACCTTAGGTGTATGTGGCTGGCGCCTTAGCCGCTTGAGCCCCAGGCGCCCAGCCGAGGGGAGTTTTCTTTATGTCAGTTTCATATTACTTGTTCTGTTTCACCAGGAGATCGTGGTGCTGTCACTCTGGGTGTTTTCCTAATAGCATGGAAAGGAAGACTTGCTCTTCCTTCCTCTCAAAGACAGAATAGTTTTGAAGGGAAGAAGTAAACCCCCCAAAGGGGCAGTTTTCATTTGTATTGTGAAATGTAAAAATAAAACTTAAGTATTTTAGTTAAAAAATAAAATAAAATAAAATACAATCAAAACTCACTTTAATGTGGAAGTTGCCAGAAGTGAGGCTGTGCAAGTAGTGAAACCTGCTGGGTGGGAGCCTGCTGGGTGCTGTAGGCTGGAGGGCTGGTGGGGTGGCAGATGAGGAGGAAGATCCTGCTTTTGAGGAAGAAAATGAAGAAATTAGAGGAGGTGCAGAAGGTGGACAGGGTAAAAGACAGAGACTTTTTTCTGAAGAATTGAGATGTATGATGTATGGCTTTGGAGAGGAAAAGAATCCTTATACTAAGTGAGTAGAGCTTCTTGAAGAATATCTCCTCTTGAACAATACCTAGTGTGATAGAGTTCATTACTGAAAGGACTCACAAGGCCATGTCTGTTGGCAGACAAGTTCAAGTACAAGTTGAAGATATCATCTTCTTGATTCAAAAGGACTCCGGGAAGTTTGCTAGGGTTAAAGACTTGTTTACTATGAGTGAAGAGTTGAAATGGGCTAGAAAAGCATTTGATGAAGCAAACTGTGGATCTTGACATCTTTTATAGTTTCTGAAACCATTATGTTCTAGGGAAACCATGTGTAAGAATTGTTATATTTTCTGCAGTAAGGTCCTGATATCTACCTGTGTAAATGAAAGGTAGAGAAACCAAGTTTTCTGCCTTTATTTTCATGGCTGTGATTTTTATAGTGATATTGGATTAATTGCCTGCCTTTATATGACCATACTTGAATTACTTACTGAGTTTTAATGACCACATGTAAGTTAAAACACCTTTCAAACCATGCAGTTCTTTCTGACTGTTAACCAGGAATGAAATATTAATAGTGTTCATGTGTTTGGCATATCTGTGCCAATTTAAACTATGCTGTGGCTGTTTAATATGTGAAATCTAAATGGCATCTTTGAAAGCTGAAATATGTGCTTTATGTATTCTGAAGTGTTTGTATGAAAGTAGTCTGAGATTATTGTAGTGAACATGGCCAGCACCCTACTCCTTTGAGCCACAGGAGCCACCCGTGGCTGATTTCTTTTAATATTCTTTTCTTCTGATAATAAGAATGATTTTATTTTCTGGGAGAAACAAAGTTTCATGTGAATCTTCCATGTTGGAAAGCTTTTTTGGTTTAAGACTTTTTGGGGGCTCGGCGCCTGTGGCTCAAGCAGCTAAGGTGCCAGCCACATACACCTAAGGTGGTGGGTTCGAATCCCCAGTCCAGGCCCGCCAAACAACAATGATGGCTACAACCAAAAAATGGCCAGGCGTTGTGGCGGGCGCCTGTGGTCCCAGCTACTTGGGAGGCTGAGGCAGGAGACTCGCTTGAGCCCAGGAGTTGGAGATTGCTGTGAGCTGTGATGCCATGGCACTCTACCCAGGGGGATAGCTTGAGGCTCCGTCTAAAAAAAAGACTTTTTGGGGATTATAATATATTATTTGTTAAATTTTGGGAAAAGCTTCTAAAAAAAAATGTTTTCAGTAGCAAGAATGGCATTGCCAAAAATGGAATGGCATAGAGGCAAGATAAGCATTTAGGGTAGTGTTTTATTTGCATATTTGTAAGTACTTATTCATTGTGGAAATGTACACTTGATGAAAACCATGTGTGTCTGTGGAAGCCGCTTTTTAAAAAATTTTCTTATACAATGTTTATTTTTACCTTGTTATATTTTTATGTTGCATTCAGCGTAAATCAAAATGAAATAAAGATCTGCTTAATTGGTTCAGAAAAGGGCCATGTGAAAAGAAAAATATTGGGTAAAATTTTACCAGAAGAGAATTAGGATTTAGAGGGATGGATTTGAGTTACAGTCCCATGGAAACTCTTTTGTAATTCAGGATATATGGGTTTTGTATGTATGTACCTTATCAAGTTATTATTGCATTTAGGTTGAAATAAGGATTAAAATTGCATTGAAATAGAAAAAAAAATACAAAAATTAGCCAGGTGTGGTGGCACGTGCCTATAGTGCCAGTCACTCGAGAGGCTGAGGGAGGAAGATCATTTAAACTTGGGAGTTCAAGGTTGTAGTGAGTTATGACCATGCCACTGCACACTGGCCCAGGCAACAAAGCAAGACTCTGTCTCAGAAAACCAAACCAAAACAAAAAAAATCAATTCAACAATAATTGCTTGAAATGTACCAAATATATAACAACCAATGAGTCCATAATGATACTCCATAAAATGAAAACCTGAACAAAAGTAAACCTCACTTGAATTCAATGACTATGAATATTAAAATAACTGCTTTCCCAGAAAATTGGTCACTAAAGACCAAGTTTTCTTGAGAGACAAGATAAAGGTGGAATTACATCTATTTCTCTTGGTAATTCCATATAATCTAGGGTTGTCAAGGGGGATATGCTGTTCATGTGAGTTATAGCCGTCACTTTTAGAAAAAAGATCAAAGATAAGTCTGGTGGCCTCAGTTAGCTTCAGATAGCAGGAAGTGACATATATAATTCAGACAGAGGAGGAGTCAAGGCAAGACAAGTGGCATAGGAATTCATAGGCAGGATACAGACAGAAGCCTAAGGAAGTGTTATGATGGTGGACGTAGAAGGTTCGGAAAAGGGGTAGAGGGTTTGCATTGTCGGGGAAGAGGCAAGGTCATTTCTTTTTCTTTATTTTGTTCAGATTAATATGAGGGTACAAACTATTAGGTTACAATGTTTACATTTGTTAGGTAAAGTCCCTGTTGTAATTGTGCCCTGTACCCAGGAGGTGTGCCATGCACATTGTGCCCATTAGGTGAGAACACAGCAATGCCCGTCTCCCCTCCCCTCTCCAGGGTAATTTGTGATAGGAGGAGTAACATAAAGTCATTGACATTGGGTTGAGCTTCCCTTTAGTGTGAGCCAAACTGATAGAGAAGGGGAGGATCTAATCAAGCAAGGACCAATAAGCGCAAGTTGCCTCAAATCCTTTTTAGAATAAGCTAGTAATTAAGAGAAGGAGTAATAACATTGTACACGTACTAATATTGCACCTACTATATACAGCAGGCCTTCACAACAGCCCTGTGAGGTCAGTCTTATTACTCTCCTCCGCCTTTCACAGGTAGAGAATCGAAGCAAAAGAGAGGCCAGGTAATCTGCCCAGGGTCACACAGTCAATTCTTTACTGCTGTTCTTCTTGCCTCCTACTTCACTCTTTTGTGTAAGCGCAAGCAGTTTAAGAAGGCTTTCAATTGTAGGTCAACATGGTATAGAAAGAGGCCTTCTTCCTTACAATTATGTTTTCTGCTTCTAAATAATCCCAGTAACACAATTTTGAG